ACACACACACACACACACACACACATGCTGAACAGCTGACAGAAGAAGAAGGCCAGCTGTTCTATTTATAGCAGAGGTTCTCAGAGTTTCAGACCAGTTCCTCTCCGCCGGCCCACCGTCCTCCGTCTGTCATGCCCAGCAGCCAGGCCCGAAGCCGGGCCAGAGACCGGAACAATGTTCTGAACCGGCCAGAGTTCATGTCCCTGAACCAGCCCAGCCATAGGGAGCACTCTGCTGGGGAGGGACGGGCCGGCGGTCCAAGGAGACCCGTGCTGAGACAGCAGAGTCAGCAGGACGACATAGCAGGGAGGTAAGAGGCTCCACCCACAAATAGCCTGGTAACATTTAGTGTATAATAAGACCTGGACCTGGAGCCGGTCCTGGAGCCCCAGTACTCTGGGTTTTTAAGGCTTTAAAGGTGGAGTTCTAGTTCCACTAAGCTTAGTCAGAAAGAACCAGTAGAACTTAGGCTTCAACATCCAGATTACTGACATGTTGTGTTTGTTGTCAAGGCAGTAATGTAACCTGAAGCAGTCACAGTACCAGATGGATTTGGATCAGAACCAGCTTTGAATGTAAAACCCGTAATATAGGATCTGCTGTGGCTGTAACTAAAACTGACTGGTGTGAACTGGGTCAACATAAAGGAACACCGATAGATGATGCAAAGCATCATGGGAACCTTTTCGAGATGACTAACAGTGAAAGTATTCAAACCTTGAACAGTTTTTAAAACACAAACTTTAATGTGATTATTTCCACGGCGAACAGAACAAAACTGTGGACCGAACAAATTTATGGTCTCCAACATTTTCTAAAGTTAAAAACCAAACAGTCTGAATTCTGGTTGTATTCTGCCCCTTTACTCTGATGCCACTAAATAACTTGAAGCAATGAACAGATTCATCAGCCTGAAAGCAGCTGTTCTGGTTCTGGACTTGGAGGTTTAATCAGCATCATGAGGCCCAGGAACCCAGCAGACAGGAGGTTCAGGTTCTGTTGTACCAATATGGCTCTGGAAACAAATGTCATCAGGTTCTGCTTCATACTTGTTTATAAAACTTTATTGAATATGATTTAGGGAGTAAAATCGTATA